GAACGAAAACCAGGAATCCTAGCCACCAGACCAGCAAGGGCTAGAGGCTAGAAGCCAAGTTTCCCTGGATCTTTGACCAGTGAAAAATGCATTCATCATGGAGGCAGAATCGCTACATGCAGGTACAACGTTTATTATCAGAGACACAGCACAGCAACACGTGGGAAAGAACACGGAGGAACAGCTGGTCTAGTTACCACAGAAGCAAAGCAGAGACACACACCTGGAGAGAAAGGTTATGGGCGCCCCCTGGTGACAAGGAGCACAATAACCACGAGGTGGTGAAGTCCTTTATATAGGCCAGTTCTTCTGGGTCTTTGTCTTCCTTCCTGCCAAGTTTCTGGTTTCTTTCTTCACATCTGACCTATCCTGGGCCTCTGCCCTGGTGTGCACATACCCCTCAGCCAAGATGGATCTCCAAGTGGAGGCTTCTGGGAGAAGCAAGGCTCATCATGGTCTGGCACTTTCGCGGGACTTTTCACCCACAAGGAGCCTCTCTGCGCATGTGTAGTGTTTCCCTTCTCCCACAAGGGGGGTGGGGGGAGGGGAGATCTCTTCATCCTTGACTCAAGCAGGATTTTGTCCCTCTTTGCCCTTGTCATGGCTACTAAAGTGTTCATGAGAGACAGACACTGGTTATTTACCCTCTTTCGGTTGTTACTTCCATTTCACAGGGCAAGCAGGACACTGACTGTAAAGGCTCAACTGGAGCCCAACCATCGCTTGCCTCAGGAAATGTAAACAGGCTAGATGTAAATGCCTAACCTGGAGTCCATCTGTCTCCTCCAGCAGCATTATGGGAAGACAAAAGGCGGAAAATTATGCCAATAAGGCACCACATGATGGTGCAAAAAGATGGATATAGACAAGGAAAGAAGGAATAAAAACTAAGCATTATGCTAATGGCAACCATTATGCAAGTTAATGGGGGGTGGGGGGGAACCTAATGGAAAACACTTGCTTTTATGCCATAAACCATCCTTGAATTCAGGTTGAATTGGATTTTTCACGATAAACTTTTCATCACCTCTGCATTGGCTTGTCGTCTACTTTGTGCAAAAGCCTGGAGCTCCTAACTACTAGGGGGTCTCCCATCCAAGTACTAACTAACCCTGCTTAGTTTCCCCGATCAGAAGACATCTGGCCCGTTCAGGGTGGTATGATCTTAGATGGAGGCGGTTGCCGCCAGGCGCCTTTAAAAACCCTGCGCTGCGCCTGCTTTTCGCTCTGATGTGCCGTGTCGAGCCAGCCGGCCGCACCTTTCCACGGGGCGCGCCGGCCAGGGCCGGCAGCCCGGCCGAAGCCTCCCAGTCCCCACACACCGGCAACCCTGGCCAGCAAACCTGGCCCGGCCCGGGGGCCCGGAGTGTTTCCGGGACCCCGAGCGGCCGGTCGGGCGTGCATGCCTGGGCTTGGGGTTGGGGTGAGGGGTGCGGAGGTCTCGGCGCCCTCCCGCCCTGGGCCTCTCCAGGCCCGCCCCCTGTCAGCGCCCCCCAACCCCCCGGCCCACTCCCGTTCGTGGCTCAGGGCCACGTGGCCCCGGAGGTGTCTGATTCGGGCCCGCCGCGGACCGCGGCCCTCGGTCCTCTGAGCCTCCCTCGGGCATAGGCGGAGCGCAGCCGGGGCCCTGAGCGCCCATCCTGCCCGGCACCTGCCCGGGGCCCAAACCCACTGGGAGCCACCAGCGTGGTCCACCCGAGCGCCTCAGCCCTGCCCCTTCGCCCGACCGCGGCCCCCCTCCTCGCCACGCCACCCGCCAAGCACAGGACCTTCCTGAGGTCCTTAAAATTCTTCCTTCAAGAGTTCTAGGTAAATTTAAGACAGCATCTACTGGATTGTCTCCAAGGGCTAAAAAAACAAACAAACCAACAGTTACCTTGATCCATCTTGCCTTAATGTGAGCTGTAACAGTAACCTCAGAGCTGCTGCACTCAATGATTTGATTCATTCTGTTGTTGAAAAACAGGGATTCTCAATATTGTCAAAATGGCTATAGTACCCAAAGCAATCTACAGATTCAAGGCAATCCCTATCAAGCTACCAACGGCAGCTTTCAGAGAACTAGAGCAAATAATTTCACAATTTGTATGGAAATGCAAAACACCTCGAATAGCCAAAGGAATCTTGAGAAAGAAGAATGGAACTGGAGGAATCAACCTGCCTGACTTCAGACTATACCACAAAGCCACAGTCATCAAGACAGTATGGTACTGGCACAAAGACAGAAATATAGATCAATGGAACAGAACAGAAAGCCCAGAGATAAATCCACGAACCTATGGTCACCTTATCTTCGACAAAGGAGGCAAGGATATACAGTGGAAAAAAAGACAACCTCTTTAACAAGCGGTGCTGGGAAAACTGGTCAGCCACCTGGAAAAGAATGAAACGAGAACACCGTCTAACACCATACACAGAAATAAACTCAAAATGGATTAAAGATCTAAACGTTAAGACCAGAAACCATAAAACTCCTAGAGGAGAACACAGGCAAAACACTCTCCGACATAAATCACAGCAGGATCCCAGAGTATTAGAAACAAAAGCGAAAATTAACAAATGGGACCTAATGAAACTTAAAAGCTTTTGCACGACAAAGAAACTATAAGCGAGGTGAAAGGACAGCCCTCAGATTGGGAGAAAATAACAGCAAACGAAGCAACACACAAAGGATTAATCTCAAAAATATACAAGCAACTCCTCCAGCTCAACTCCAGAAAATAAATGACCCAATCAAAAAATGGGCCAAAGAGCTAACCAGACATTTCTCCAAGGAAGGCATACAGATGGCTAAAAGACACATGAAAAGATGCTCAACATCACTCATTATCCGAGAAATGCAAATCAAAACCACAATGAGGTACCATTACACGCCAGGCAGGATGGCTGCTATCCAAAAAGTCTACAAGCAATAAATGCTGGAGAGGGTGTGGAGAAAAGGGAACCCTCTTACCCTGTCGGTGGGAATGCAAACTAGTACAGCCGCTATGGAAAACAGTGTGGAGATTTCTTAAAAAACTGGAAACAGAACTGCCCTATGATCCAGCAATCCCACTTCTGGGCATACACGCCGAGGAAACCAGATCTGAAAGAGACACGTGCACCCCAATGTTCATCGCAGCACCGTTTATAATAGGCAGGACATGGAAGTAACCTAGATGCCCGTCAGCAGACGAATGGATAAGGCAGCTGTGGTACATATACACCATGGAATCTTACTCAGCCATTAAAAAGAATTCATTTGAATCAGTTCTAAAGAGATGGATGAAACTGGAGCCCGTTATACAGACTGAAGTAAGCCAGAAAGATAAAGACCATTACAGGATACTAACACATATACACGGAATTGAGCAAGATGGTAACCATAACCCTATATGCAAAACAGAAAAAGACACACAGATGTAGAGAACAGACTTTTGGACTCTGAGGGAGAAGGCGCGGGTGGGATGTTTCAAGAGAACAGCATCGAAACACGTATATATAACCTAGGGTGAAAGAGATCACCAGCCCAGGTTGGATGCAGGAGACAAGTGCTCGGACCTGGTGCACTGGGAAGAGCCAAAGGGATCGGGTCGAGACGGAGGTGGGAGGGGGGATCGGGATGGGGAATACATGTAAATCCATGGCTAATTCATGTCAATGTATGACAAAAAAATTTGTAAAGTCATTAGCCTCCAACTAATAAAAATAAATGAAAAAAAAAAAACAAAAAACCAGGGATTCATTGAGCTGCATGGGAGATGAATTATGTCATTAGAAACTTTGCCACCAGGCTTAAGAAATATATTTAGAACTCAATTTCTTTCAGGAAACAGGTTTCAAGATCTCCATAAGAAGTCTTTTATTAAGATAAATCACAGCTTTGTCAGTTTCTCCAGAAGTACCCTCTTTTTAATTCCCAAGGAGAATGGCAATAATAAAACTAAATTAACCGAGTAGGTTATTTTCTCTCTAATGGCCCCTGTCTTGATTAAGAGGATTCCGGTCGACGTATTTCCTGGGCTTCCCTGGTGGCTCAGGTGGTAAAGCATCTGTCTGCAATGCAGGAGACCTGGGTTTCATGCCTGGGTTGAGAAGATCGCCTGGAGAAGGGAATGGCCACCTCTTCCAGTATTCTTGCCTAGAGAATTCCACGGACAGAGGAACTGGGAAGGCCACAGTCCATGGAGTCACAAAGAGTCGGACACAGCTGAGCAACTAATACACATATTTTCTTACCATTTGCTTAGCAGAAGCAATCATTCATAGCATTTTATAGCACTTTCTAAAGAACATTTTGTGCCTTTTTTCTCTTTTGTAAGCTGCACCAGGTCTTGGTTGCCACACATGGGATCTTTCATTGTGGCGTGCAAACTCTTCCTTGCAGTGAATGGGATCTAGTTCACTGACCAGAGATTGAACCCAGGCCCCTGCATTGGGAGCAGCCACTGGATCGCCAGGGAAGCCCTCTAAAGAACTCTTAAAGTGAAACTTTTTGGATGTTCGCAGCAGCTCTGGGCAGTCCTAGTGATGATACTTGTTCTGCACTCTTGAGCCCGTGACCTCCCTGAGGGACACAGGGGCCAAGCGAGCAGATGCTACCCCAGCGCCAGACCACAGGGCCAGACTGGCAGTGTAAACTCCCTTCCAGTGATGTCCTCTTTTTACTGTTCCTCTGGTCAATTCAGTACTGTTTCCTTGGAGCTTGTGTTTAAAAGGAAATCCTAGATGTGTTCAAACATTACTGCCCACTTTCAGATGGATTGATATCTACCTAGGACTTCTCTATTAAACCCACCTGCCTGAGTACTGTGACTTGATTGGAGTTTTCTTGAAGTCACTCCTGAAGCACTGTGATGGCTTTGTCTAACATTAATAGATTTTTTAAAATGATATGTGTTGGGGAATGGCTATGAAAAAAGGGGAGAATCTGTTGCTACTGCAAACCAATTAAGGAGGCAACTTAAAAAGGAAATCTGAATTGTAACTATGTTTCTATTTCTGTAAAATACTGTCCTTACCTTGCAGTCTGTAGTTGATGTGCCCAGACACAGTAGTGGCTCTCGGGTTGCTCTTCTGCCATCTTCCTGTCTCCTTCAGTCCCTGCATGCGTATAGGAACTTCAGTGAGATAATGGGGCATTTAACACAGATTAATACTCTGTGCAATACTGTATTTAGTGTTTCTACTTTAAAGTTTCTAGGATGTTAATTTACATGCAAATAAAATACATGATAAGAGAGTTCTCTGCCTATTGTGTCTATATGACCTAAAAGTAAATGCAAAATATTTATCCCAGAGGGAAAATAAGTTAGAGCGTCTGTGTTCAAAGATTTTTGAAAGTTCTTATCTCAGGCCGAACCGTTGCTGGTGAACAGTGAAAGTCGCTCTGTCATGTCTGACTCTGCGAACGCATGGACTGTACAGTCCATGGAATTCTCCAGGCCAGAATACTAGAGTGGGTAGCCGTTTCCCTTCTCCAGGGGGTCTTTGCAACCCAGGGATCGAACCCAGGTCTCCTGCACTGCAGGTGGATTCCTCACCAGCTGAGCCACCAGGGAAGCCTGAACAGTTCTTGGCAGCTAAGGATTTAACAACTGCTAGAGTGTAAAGACAAAATAGTAATTCCGCTACATTAAAACACATTTTCTTAAGTGCAAATCTTCTCAATGCAGTTTTAGGGAAGAAGTATTTCCCCCTTATGGAAATATCAGTATGTTAATTCCTAAGAAGTCCTTTCTCGAAAAGTTGCAAAAATTCATATGATGTAGATTAAATGGTGATAAAAATTGAGTTGATCTCAGTGAGGCAGCAGTGAGTGGTGGCGTGAAGTGAGATCTAATTCGCTGCCCAGGAACTGAACCCGGGTAGCCTGAACGAAAAACAGGAATCCTAGCCACCAGACCAGCAAGGGCTAGAGGCTAGAAGCCAAATTTCCCTGGATCTTTGACCAGTGAAAAATGCATTCATCATGGAGGCAGAATCGCTACATGCAGGTACAACGTTTATTATCAGAGACACAGCACAGCAACACGTGGGAAAGAACACGGAGGAAGAGCTGGTCTAGTTACCACAGAAGCAAAGCAGAGACACACACCTGGAGAGAAAGGTTATGGGCGCCCCCTGGTGACAAGGAGCACAATAACCACGAGGTGGTGAAGTCCTTTATATAGGCCAGTTCTTCTGGGTCTTTGTCTTCCTTCCTGCCAAGTTTCTGGTTTCTTTCTTCACATCTGACCTATCCTGGGCCTCTGCCCTGGTGTGCACATACCCCTCAGCCAAGATGGATCTCCAAGTGGAGGCTTCTGGGAGAAGCGAGGCTCATCATGGTCTGGCACTTTCGCGGGACTTTTCACCCACAAGGAGCCTCTCTGCGCGTGTGTAGGGTTTCCCTTCTCCCACAAGGGGGGTGGGGGGAGGGGAGATCTCTTCATCCTTGACTCAAGCAGGATTTTGTCCCTCTTTGCCCTTGTCATGGCTACTAAAGTGTTCATGAGAGACAGACACTGGTTATTTACCCTCTTTCGGTTGTTACTTCCATTTCACAGGGCAAGCAGGACACTGACTGTAAAGGCTCAACTGGAGCCCAACCATCGCTTGCCTCAGGAAATGTAAACAGGCTAGATGTAAATGCCTAACCTGGAGTCCATCTGTCTCCTCCAGCAGCATTATGGGAAGACAAAAGGCGGAAAATTATGCCAATAAGGCACCACATGATGGTGCAAAAAGATGGATATAGACAAGGAAAGAAGGAATAAAAACTAAGCATTATGCTAATGGCAACCATTATGCAAGTTAATGGGGGGTGGGGGGGAACCTAATGGAAAACACTTGCTTTTATGCCATAAACCATCCTTGAATTCAGGTTGAATTGGATTTTTCACGATAAACTTTTCATCACCTCTGCATTGGCTTGTCGTCTACTTTGTGCAAAAGCCTGGAGCTCCTAACTACTAGGGGGTCTCCCATCCAAGTACTAACTAACCCTGCTTAGTTTCCCCGATCAGAAGACATCTGGCCCGTTCAGGGTGGTATGATCTTAGATGGAGGCGGTTGCCGCCAGGCGCCTTTAAAAACCCTGCGCTGCGCCTGCTTTTCGCTCTGATGTGCCGTGTCGAGCCAGCCGGCCGCACCTTTCCACGGGGCGCGCCGGCCAGGGCCGGCAGCCCGGCCGAAGCCTCCCAGTCCCCACACACCGGCAACCCTGGCCAGCAAACCTGGCCCGGCCCGGGGGCCCGGAGTGTTTCCGGGACCCCGAGCGGCCGGTCGGGCGTGCATGCCTGGGCTTGGGGTTGGGGTGAGGGGTGCGGAGGTCTCGGCGCCCTCCCGCCCTGGGCCTCTCCAGGCCCGCCCCCTGTCAGCGCCCCCCAACCCCCCGGCCCACTCCCGTTCGTGGCTCAGGGCCACGTGGCCCCGGAGGTGTCTGATTCGGGCCCGCCGCGGACCGCGGCCCTCGGTCCTCTGAGCCTCCCTCGGGCATAGGCGGAGCGCAGCCGGGGCCCTGAGCGCCCATCCTGCCCGGCACCTGCCCGGGGCCCAAACCCACTGGGAGCCACCAGCGTGGTCCACCCGAGCGCCTCAGCCCTGCCCCTTCGCCCGACCGCGGCCCCCCTCCTCGCCACGCCACCCGCCAAGCACAGGACCTTCCTGAGGTCCTTAAAATTCTTCCTTCAAGAGTTCTAGGTAAATTTAAGACAGCATCTACTGGATTGTCTCCAAGGGCTAAAAAAACAAACAAACCAACAGTTACCTTGATCCATCTTGCCTTAATGTGAGCTGTAACAGTAACCTCAGAGCTGCTGCACTCAATGATTTGATTCATTCTGTTGTTGAAAAACAGGGATTCTCAATATTGTCAAAATGGCTATAGTACCCAAAGCAATCTACAGATTCAATGCAATCCCTATCAAGCTACCAACGGCAGCTTTCAGAGAACTAGAGCAAATAATTTCACAATTTGTATGGAAATGCAAAACACCTCGAATAGCCAAAGGAATCTTGAGAAAGAAGAATGGAACTGGAGGAATCAACCTGCCTGACTTCAGACTATACCACAAAGCCACAGTCATCAAGACAGTATGGTACTGGCACAAAGACAGAAATATAGATCAATGGAACAGAACAGAAAGCCCAGAGATAAATCCACGAACCTATGGTCACCTTATCTTCGACAAAGGAGGCAAGGATATACAGTGGAAAAAAAGACAACCTCTTTAACAAGCGGTGCTGGGAAAACTGGTCAGCCACCTGGAAAAGAATGAAACGAGAACACCGTCTAACACCATACACAGAAATAAACTCAAAATGGATTAAAGATCTAAACGTTAAGACCAGAAACCATAAAACTCCTAGAGGAGAACACAGGCAAAACACTCTCCGACATAAATCACAGCAGGATCCCAGAGTATTAGAAACAAAAGCGAAAATTAACAAATGGGACCTAATGAAACTTAAAAGCTTTTGCACGACAAAGAAACTATAAGCGAGGTGAAAGGACAGCCCTCAGATTGGGAGAAAATAGCAGCAAACGAAGCAACACACAAAGGATTAATCTCAAAAATATACAAGCAACTCCTCCAGCTCAACTCCAGAAAATAAATGACCCAATCAAAAAATGGGCCAAAGAGCTAACCAGACATTTCTCCAAGGAAGGCATACAGATGGCTAAAAGACACATGAAAAGATGCTCAACATCACTCATTATCCGAGAAATGCAAATCAAAACCACAATGAGGTACCATTACACGCCAGGCAGGATGGCTGCTATGCAAAAAGTCTACAAGCAATAAATGCTGGAGAGGGTGTGGAGAAAAGGGAACCCTCTTACCCTGTCAGTGGGAATGCAAACTAGTACAGCCGCTATGGAAAACAGTGTGGAGATTTCTTAAAAAACTGGAAACAGAACTGCCCTATGATCCAGCAATCCCACTTCTGGGCATACACGCCGAGGAAACCAGATCTGAAAGAGACACGTGCACCCCAATGTTCATCGCAGCACCGTTTATAATAGGCAGGACATGGAAGTAACCTAGATGCCCGTCAGCAGACGAATGGATAAGGCAGCTGTGGTACATATACACCATGGAATCTTACTCAGCCATTAAAAAGAATTCATTTGAATCAGTTCTAAAGAGATGGATGAAACTGGAGCCCGTTATACAGACTGAAGTAAGCCAGAAAGATAAAGACCATTACAGGATACTAACACATATACACGGAATTGAGCAAGATGGTAACCATAACCCTATATGCAAAACAGAAAAAGACACACAGATGTAGAGAACAGACTTTTGGACTCTGAGGGAGAAGGCGCGGGTGGGATGTTTCAAGAGAACAGCATCGAAACACGTATATATAACCTAGGGTGAAAGAGATCACCAGCCCAGGTTGGATGCAGGAGACAAGTGCTCGGACCTGGTGCACTGGGAAGAGCCAAAGGGATCGGGTCGAGACGGAGGTGGGAGGGGGGATCGGGATGGGGAATACATGTAAATCCATGGCTAATTCATGTCAATGTATGACAAAAAAATTTGTAAAGTCATTAGCCTCCAACTAATAAAAATAAATGAAAAAAAAAAAACAAAAAACCAGGGATTCATTGAGCTGCATGGGAGATGAATTATGTCATTAGAAACTTTGCCACCAGGCTTAAGAAATATATTTAGAACTCAATTTCTTTCAGGAAACAGGTTTCAAGATCTCCATAAGAAGTCTTTTATTAAGATAAATCACAGCTTTGTCAGTTTCTCCAGAAGTACCCTCTTTTTAATTCCCAAGGAGAATGGCAATAATAAAACTAAATTAACCGAGTAGGTTATTTTCTCTCTAATGGCCCCTGTCTTGATTAAGAGGATTCCGGTCGACGTATTTCCTGGGCTTCCCTGGTGGCTCAGGTGGTAAAGCATCTGTCTGCAATGCAGGAGACCTGGGTTTCATGCCTGGGTTGAGAAGATCGCCTGGAGAAGGGAATGGCCACCTCTTCCAGTATTCTTGCCTAGAGAATTCCACGGACAGAGGAACTGGGAAGGCCACAGTCCATGGAGTCACAAAGAGTCGGACACAGCTGAGCAACTAATACACATATTTTCTTACCATTTGCTTAGCAGAAGCAATCATTCATAGCATTTTATAGCACTTTCTAAAGAACATTTTGTGCCTTTTTTCTCTTTTGTAAGCTGCACCAGGTCTTGGTTGCCACACATGGGATCTTTCATTGTGGCGTGCAAACTCTTCCTTGCAGTGAATGGGATCTAGTTCACTGACCAGAGATTGAACCCAGGCCCCTGCATTGGGAGCAGCCACTGGATCGCCAGGGAAGCCCTCTAAAGAACTCTTAAAGTGAAACTTTTTGGATGTTCGCAGCAGCTCTGGGCAGTCCTAGTGATGATACTTGTTCTGCACTCTTGAGCCCGTGACCTCCCTGAGGGACACAGGGGCCAAGCGAGCAGATGCTACCCCAGCGCCAGACCACAGGGCCAGACTGGCAGTGTAAACTCCCTTCCAGTGATGTCCTCTTTTTACTGTTCCTCTGGTCAATTCAGTACTGTTTCCTTGGAGCTTGTGTTTAAAAGGAAATCCTAGATGTGTTCAAACATTACTGCCCACTTTCAGATGGATTGATATCTACCTAGGACTTCTCTATTAAACCCACCTGCCTGAGTACTGTGACTTGATTGGAGTTTTCTTGAAGTCACTCCTGAAGCACTGTGATGGCTTTGTCTAACATTAATAGATTTTTTAAAATGATATGTGTTGGGGAATGGCTATGAAAAAAGGGGAGAATCTGTTGCTACTGCAAACCAATTAAGGAGGCAACTTAAAAAGGAAATCTGAATTGTAACTATGTTTCTATTTCTGTAAAATACTGTCCTTACCTTGCAGTCTGTAGTTGATGTGCCCAGACACAGTAGTGGCTCTCGGGTTGCTCTTCTGCCATCTTCCTGTCTCCTTCAGTCCCTGCATGCGTATAGGAACTTCAGTGAGATAATGGGGCATTTAACACAGATTAATACTCTGTGCAATACTGTATTTAGTGTTTCTACTTTAAAGTTTCTAGGATGTTAATTTACATGCAAATAAAATACATGATAAGAGAGTTCTCTGCCTATTGTGTCTATATGACCTAAAAGTAAATGCAAAATATTTATCCCAGAGGGAAAATAAGTTAGAGCGTCTGTGTTCAAAGATTTTTGAAAGTTCTTATCTCAGGCCGAACCGTTGCTGGTGAACAGTGAAAGTCGCTCTGTCATGTCTGACTCTGCGAACGCATGGACTGTACAGTCCATGGAATTCTCCAGGCCAGAATACTAGAGTGGGTAGCCGTTTCCCTTCTCCAGGGGGTCTTTGCAACCCAGGGATCGAACCCAGGTCTCCTGCACTGCAGGTGGATTCCTCACCAGCTGAGCCACCAGGGAAGCCTGAACAGTTCTTGGCAGCTAAGGATTTAACAACTGCTAGAGTGTAAAGACAAAATAGTAATTCCGCTACATTAAAACACATTTTCTTAAGTGCAAATCTTCTCAATGCAGTTTTAGGGAAGAAGTATTTCCCCCTTATGGAAATATCAGTATGTTAATTCCTAAGAAGTCCTTTCTCGAAAAGTTGCAAAAATTCATATGATGTAGATTAAATGGTGATAAAAATTGAGTTGATCTCAGTGAGGCAGCAGTGAGTGGTGGCGTGAAGTGAGATCTAATTCGCTGCCCAGGAACTGAACCCGGGTAGCCTGAACGAAAACCAGGAATCCTAGCCACCAGACCAGCAAGGGCTAGAGGCTAGAAGCCAAGTTTCCCTGGATCTTTGACCAGTGAAAAATGCATTCATCATGGAGGCAGAATCGCTACATGCAGGTACAACGTTTATTATCAGAGACACAGCACAGCAACATGTGGGAAAGAACACGGAGGAACAGCTGGTCTAGTTACCACAGAAGCAAAGCAGAGACACACACCTGGAGAGAAAGGTTATGGGCGCCCCCTGGTGACAAGGAGCACAATAACCACGAGGTGGTGAAGTCCTTTATATAGGCCAGTTCTTCTGGGTCTTTGTCTTCCTTCCTGCCAAGTTTCTGGTTTCTTTCTTCACATCTGACCTATCCTGGGCCTCTGCCCTGGTGTGCACATACCCCTCAGCCAAGATGGATCTCCAAGTGGAGGCTTCTGGGAGAAGCGAGGCTCATCATGGTCTGGCACTTTCGCGGGACTTTTCACCCACAAGGAGCCTCTCTGCGCGTGTGTAGGGTTTCCCTTCTCCCACAAGGGGGGTGGGGGGAGGGGAGATCTCTTCATCCTTGACTCAAGCAGGATTTTGTCCCTCTTTGCCCTTGTCATGGCTACTAAAGTGTTCATGAGAGACAGACACTGGTTATTTACCCTCTTTCGGTTGTTACTTCCATTTCACAGGGCAAGCAGGACACTGACTGTAAAGGCTCAACTGGAGCCCAACCATCGCTTGCCTCAGGAAATGTAAACAGGCTAGATGTAAATGCCTAACCTGGAGTCCATCTGTCTCCTCCAGCAGCATTATGGGAAGACAAAAGGCGGAAAATTATGCCAATAAGGCACCACATGATGGTGCAAAAAGATGGATATAGACAAGGAAAGAAGGAATAAAAACTAAGCATTATGCTAATGGCAACCATTATGCAAGTTAATGGGGGGTGGGGGGGAACCTAATGGAAAACACTTGCTTTTATGCCATAAACCATCCTTGAATTCAGGTTGAATTGGATTTTTCACGATAAACTTTTCATCACCTCTGCATTGGCTTGTCGTCTACTTTGTGCAAAAGCCTGGAGCTCCTAACTACTAGGGGGTCTCCCATCCAAGTACTAACTAACCCTGCTTAGTTTCCCCGATCAGAAGACATCTGGCCCGTTCAGGGTGGTATGATCTTAGATGGAGGCGGTTGCCGCCAGGCGCCTTTAAAAACCCTGCGCTGCGCCTGCTTTTCGCTCTGATGTGCCGTGTCGAGCCAGCCGGCCGCACCTTTCCACGGGGCGCGCCGGCCAGGGCCGGCAGCCCGGCCGAAGCCTCCCAGTCCCCACACACCGGCAACCCTGGCCAGCAAACCTGGCCCGGCCCGGGGGCCCGGAGTGTTTCCGGGACCCCGAGCGGCCGGTCGGGCGTGCATGCCTGGGCTTGGGGTTGGGGTGAGGGGTGCGGAGGTCTCGGCGCCCTCCCGCCCTGGGCCTCTCCAGGCCCGCCCCCTGTCAGCGCCCCCCAACCCCCCGGCCCACTCCCGTTCGTGGCTCAGGGCCACGTGGCCCCGGAGGTGTCTGATTCGGGCCCGCCGCGGACCGCGGCCCTCGGTCCTCTGAGCCTCCCTCGGGCATAGGCGGAGCGCAGCCGGGGCCCTGAGCGCCCATCCTGCCCGGCACCTGCCCGGGGCCCAAACCCACTGGGAGCCACCAGCGTGGTCCACCCGAGCGCCTCAGCCCTGCCCCTTCGCCCGACCGCGGCCCCCCTCCTCGCCACGCCACCCGCCAAGCACAGGACCTTCGTGAGGTCCTTAAAATTCTTCCTTCAAGAGTTCTAGGTAAATTTAAGACAGCATCTACTGGATTGTCTCCAAGGGCTAAAAAAACAAACAAACCAACAGTTACCTTGATCCATCTTGCCTTAATGTGAGCTGTAACAGTAACCTCAGAGCTGCTGCACTCAATGATTTGATTCATTCTGTTGTTGAAAAACAGGGATTCTCAATATTGTCAAAATGGCTATAGTACCCAAAGCAATCTACAGATTCAATGCAATCCCTATCAAGCTACCAACGGCAGCTTTCAGAGAACTAGAGCAAATAATTTCACAATTTGTATGGAAATGCAAAACACCTCGAATAGCCAAAGGAATCTTGAGAAAGAAGAATGGAACTGGAGGAATCAACCTGCCTGACTTCAGACTATACCACAAAGCCACAGTCATCAAGACAGTATGGTACTGGCACAAAGACAGAAATATAGATCAATGGAACAGAACAGAAAGCCCAGAGATAAATCCACGAACCTATGGTCACCTTATCTTCGACAAAGGAGGCAAGGATATACAGTGGAAAAAAAGACAACCTCTTTAACAAGCGGTGCTGGGAAAACTGGTCAGCCACCTGGAAAAGAATGAAACGAGAACACCGTCTAACACCATACACAGAAATAAACTCAAAATGGATTAAAGATCTAAACGTTAAGACCAGAAACCATAAAACTCCTAGAGGAGAACACAGGCAAAACACTCTCCGACATAAATCACAGCAGGATCCCAGAGTATTAGAAACAAAAGCGAAAATTAACAAATGGGACCTAATGAAACTTAAAAGCTTTTGCACGACAAAGAAACTATAAGCGAGGTGAAAGGACAGCCCTCAGATTGGGAGAAAATAGCAGCAAACGAAGCAACACACAAAGGATTAATCTCAAAAATATACAAGCAACTCCTCCAGCTCAACTCCAGAAAATAAATGACCCAATCAAAAAATGGGCCAAAGAGCTAACCAGACATTTCTCCAAGGAAGGCATACAGATGGCTAAAAGACACATGAAAAGATGCTCAACATCACTCATTATCCGAGAAATGCAAATCAAAACCACAATGAGGTACCATTACACGCCAGGCAGGATGGCTGCTATCCAAAAAGTCTACAAGCAATAAATGCTGGAGAGGGTGTGGAGAAAAGGGAACCCTCTTACCCTGTCGGTGGGAATGCAAACTAGTACAGCCGCTATGGAAAACAGTGTGGAGATTTCTTAAAAAACTGGAAACAGAACTGCCCTATGATCCAGCAATCCCACTTCTGGGCATACACGCCGAGGAAACCAGATCTGAAAGAGACACGTGCACCCCAATGTTCATCGCAGCACCGTTTATAATAGGCAGGACATGGAAGTAACCTAGATGCCCGTCAGCAGACGAATGGATAAGGCAGCTGTGGTACATATACACCATGGAATCTTACTCAGCCATTAAAAAGAATTCATTTGAATCAGTTCTAAAGAGATGGATGAAACTGGAGCCCGTTATACAGACTGAAGTAAGCCAGAAAGATAAAGACCATTACAGGATACTAACACATATACACGGAATTGAGCAAGATGGTAACCATAACCCTATATGCAAAACAGAAAAAGACACACAGATGTAGAGAACAGACTTTTGGACTCTGTGGGAGAAGGCGCGGGTGGGATGTTTCAAGAGAACAGCATCGAAACACGTATATATAACCTAGGGTGAAAGAGATCACCAGCCCAGGTTGGATGCAGGAGACAAGTGCTCGGACCTGGTGCACTGGGAAGAGCCAAAGGGATCGGGTCGAGACGGAGGTGGGAGGGGGGATCGGGATGGGGAATACATGTAAATCCATGGCTAATTCATGTCAATGTATGACAAAAAAATTTGTAAAGTCATTAGCCTCCAACTAATAAAAATAAATGAAAAAAAAAAACAAAAAACCAGGGATTCATTGAGCTGCATGGGAGATGAATTCTGTCATTAGAAACTTTGCCACCAGGCTTAAGAAATATATTTAGAACTCAATTTCTTTCAGGAAACAGGTTTCAAGATCTCCATAAGAAGTCTTTTATTAAGATAAATCACAGCTTTGTCAGTTTCTCCAGAAGTACCCTCTTTTTAATTCCCAAGGAGAATGGCAATAATAAAACTAAATTAACCGAGTAGGTTATTTTCTCTCTAATGGCCCCTGTCTTGATTAAGAGGATTCCGGTCGACGTATTTCCTGGGCTTCCCTGGTGGCTCAGGTGGTAAAGCATCTGTCTGCAATGCAGGAGACCTGGGTTTCATGCCTGGGTTGAGAAGATCGCCTGGAGAAGGGAATGGCCACCTCTTCCAGTATTCTTGCCTAGAGAATTCCACGGACAGAGGAACTGGGAAGGCCACAGTCCATGGAGTCACAAAGAGTCGGACACAGCTGAGCAACTAATACACATATTTTCTTACCATTTGCTTAGC